CATATCATTTGGCAGAAGCATATGTTCACTTTACCCAGGTATAGCGTGTCAGTCTGCGGTATGAACTCTGACACAAGTAGGCGTCCAATCTTCTGCTGACATTTCAGTTTCAAAATGTTCTAGTGAGCAGATTCTAAAACAGTCTTTTTTCATCTTTATTTCACCAGGTGATTATGGTCGGCTAAAAAGATAAATATCATTAACAGTCACATGACAAAAAAGTGCACCCTCTTTCAGTTCTAGGATTTTACATCTATTACTTACCAGGTCTGAAAATTTGGTAAATACAACCTCAGTTGAACAGCATCTCATGGCATTATACCATGGCACTATTTGTTTATTAAAAACTAACCCAAAATATAGAAGAAGTGGGGATTTGTTTATGTACAGCTCTGTTTAGGTCCCACACCACCATTCAGTCAGGCTGAAGCCTGGACTTTGCAGCACTTTGATTCTGTTATTTTCAGCCTTTCTATTGTAAATTTGCTGCTGTGCCACCTGCCTAAGCAATCAGATAGATGGCCCACATTTGCCTCTAGAATACTTTGGTATACAGAGGAGTTTGTGGTGTTTTAATGGTTCAGTGACTGCATGGTGCCCAGATGCAAAACAAGCCCAAATCATCACCCCTCCACCACCATGCTTGACGGCTGGTATGAAGTGTTTGTGATGACATGCTTGTTGTGCTTGGTTTTCTTCAAATGTGGTGCTGTGCATTATGGTTAAACATCTGTACTTTGGTCTCTTCTGTCCAAAGGACTTTGTTCAGGTGCAACTTAGCAAACCGAAGCCGTGCTGCCATGTTCTTTTAAGAAAGAAGAGGCTTTCTCCTAGCAAGCCCTGCAAACAGAGTTGGTACATGGTACTTTACATTGTCTGACCTTGTGGTGACCTTGCTGGGACGTCCACACCTGTGAAAACTGCCTTTAATTTTTTTCCCCACTTATGAATAATCTTTAGAATGATGGACTTCAAATTCTTTGGAAAGGTTAAAAAAAAGATTGATGAGCAGCAACAATTGCTTCTGTCGCGTTTTGTAATTCAGCCGAGGTTGAATCTGAGTCATTTTCAGATCTGCTAAAGACCACACCATTTGTTTTATTACGTCCAGATGTATAAAACTTTATGATGACTGTTTGAAAAACTGCTTTAAGATCTTCTAACTTGGATATCCCATGCTTTCGATTCAGTTCTTTGAAGGACATCATAACATCTTGACTCATTTTAAGTACTTTGGAAATGCTAAAGTTTAAATTTAGCAGCGTTTTTTCCTGTGGTAAGAAAATTGTTTACCCACTTTGAGACAAAGAGTCCTGGTTTTTAAAATATTTTCTGCCTTCACTGCATTTGCGGCGTTTTCACTGTGTCTAAATATGTGGTGTCTAAATATGTGGGGGCACATGTGCAATCTCATGTGCAACCTTAAGATTGCACATGAAATATAAAAAAATAAAGGTATAATAGACTTAAGCTGTGCAGCCCAGTCATACAATGATGGGTCTAGACATTTTTTACCCCCAGAATCAAAAGACAAGTGTAATTATATTCTAATATGATGAACTGCAACATTTCAAGAGTTAGGCTCCTTTTTCTTTCTCGCTAAGAAGTATAAACTTTCAATTATATACTTCAGCAATTTAAGGACTTTTAGAAGAACTACATGTTTCTCATTTGCCCAAATGTTACTCCATCTCACCAATGTTAATTGTTAGTTTTGACCTTTCTCTGTCCCACATGGCTAATTGCAAGAATTCAAGCAGTCAGCCAATGCAAGGTATCTCCTGTCATTTATTTAAAAAAAAAAAAAGCAAAAATCTTGGAACTTTATCTCACCACATGGTAATAAATCGAATGCTCGCCATCTCTACAATCCTCTGAATCTCATATACTTTGGATTTATGTGCAATGGTTTGGAATTTAATGCCACGATATGTCAGCTGATGTCATGTTATCTGACTTATTAAACGGGCTCTATTCCTCTTTCTCGCGCTTAGCTAGATTGCGGGATATGGAGAGCTGAGATGTAATTTTTTATTAGATATGCCACATACACGCCGAACATCAAATTCACAGTGTCAAATTATGGCTGGACTGTGATCGAGCGGGTTGCCTGCTGCGGTTTGTCTTTAATCCCTGACAGTTTGTCTGCATCCCTTCAAAACAGACTGTTTTTCAGGAGAAAATTAGTCTTCCTGGGGGGTTTAGCTGTCTCTTGCTCCTCGTGTAGAAACTCGTTGAATTCCAAGTTCAAAATTGGTGCAAAAGCTTGTTAAGCTGTAAATGACTCTGGTGGGAGTCATGTAGTGCAGGATGTACGCAGGAATACATAATGTACACCACATCTTTTTCAGGTGTAGGGACTCCTCAAGCAGCACTGATGAAAGCACTAGTTCCAAAACCAAGTTATTCATATAGAAAAACACTATTCACCCCCTATTTTAAGGTCAGGTTCATTTATCATAGCTCAATTTGTACCTACAGAGGGAATACCTAATATTTTGAACCAAATCTAATCATTCAATTCAGTAACTACGTGCATGCTGTGTATGAACCGTGGGACCACGTTAAGTGGAACGTGACAGTTGCCATGGTAAAACACTCCCTAGTTAGGGTGTGGGATCTGGCGGGGGGTGTGAGAGGTGAGATAAAGATGGAGGTATTACTATCTGGGGTTTGCTTTGCCTTGAGCTCTTTATCTGCTGTAGAAATGCTTCTACTCCTTCTACAACTTTCCATTTGCATGCATAGATAAGCTTTTTTTATTCCCCAGCACTCATTAGCACAACAGGGAAGGATGCCTTTATTGTGCCATAAATTTGGTTTTGAATCTTTACATGATGGGAATTTGGAAATAATAGAGAGCTTTTCTGAAAGATTAACAGATTCATTTTTATTATGAACAGAAGGTAGTTCCATCAGAGATATGAAACATCTGGCCAGTGGTCACATTACTGAAGGTTTCTAAGAGAGACTCCAAACAGGGCTCTGTTTGGGTTTGACTCCTTATAAAAAGTTCTGAAGATTCTTGGCCTGTGATTAATGAGTGCGTGACATGCTGAAATATTCTGGCAAGTTTAGCATTTGTGTGTTCAGTTATATTAAAGCACCAGAAGGTGAGATGGGAGATTTATTTAAGTACTGGAGAACAATTTGGAGGAACTTCAGATTAAGGGTTTTGCATTAAGGTGCTTAAATCTAATGCACTGTTGGAGATTAGATCATTTCCCCAGCCACACTAGTTTTTGACTTCTTAGATTAAAATTACAGAAGTGAATAAAAATGTGTGCTGCTGAGCTTTGATCGACTTTCTTCTTCCATTAATCGTTCTACAGTCCTTTTAATCCTACAGCCTGACCCATAGACTGGAAACCACAGAAGTGAAGTACCTGAATGTATATAATTGGTTGAACTAGCTCTATCTTGGCACTGTTGTACAATGTCATTTGCATCATAGTTAATCTAACAGCATTGTACATTAGAGAAGGATATTTTGGTCAGAGTAAGGATGCTTGATATGTAAATAAAAATTACACATTTGTGCAGGATTTCAGTCTTTATTATTACATTGTGTACTTTGATTTGAAGTACATCCCCTGGAGTTTTTTTTTTTTTTTTTAACCAGACATTTGGACAAATAAATATCAAATCCCTTTTGAAAAGGCAACTACAGAAATAGGTAATATAAAACCTTTATTTGTCACACCTTTAAATCAGGATGTTAGAATCAGGGCTGCCAGATTAGGTGGTAAAGATCTGAAGTTAGAAGTTAGAGATAGACACGGAGGTATGTGTAGCGTCATTGTGCCGAGATCTTAAGTCTTTCTTAAGCCTTCCGAGAAAAGGATGTGGTTGCCTATGAGTCTGGCAAATGGTAATTATATAAAATGATATATTTAAAACGAATGATCCCCCTGTGGGAAAAATCCTTTACAAATGGTCTAGATTTAAAGCTACTGCACATTTGCCCCGGACTGGCAGCCCCAGCAACTGTAGTCCAAAAGCAGACTGTCTTATGCTTGCAGTCAGTTGATTTAATTATGAACTCTTCATTATATCAAAGAGTTTTAAGATGACGTGAGACTGACTCTACAAAAGTTGAGGTAAAGTTTGGAGTGGGTTAAAACGGATTATGGATAGATCTAAAGAAGAAAAATAACATTGATTAGAATTCAAATCTTTTGCAGCTGAAGAAATTCTGAGTGGTGAACAAAGTCAGTAAACTAATGTCAGCGGGTTGCAAAATACCTACAAACAGTTATAACAGTTAATGATAAGCTTGTTGAGTAAGTGGCTGGCAAGCAGAAAACAGCTTCTATCTTTAACCATCTATTTTAAAGAGTATTTGCTTGTTCAAGTAGCCTACTGTATAAAAGGACCTGACCACTGAGAAACACGAGGACCATGTATCCTGTAAGGACCATTTGCACAACAATTATATGTATCATGTGATTAGACCTGGAAAACTACGTAAAATTGTAAAGAGACTTGTAACCTGCCCCACCACTACCACCAACACACACTGACACAGGTCAAGGAAAATGCCAGGCAGCATTATAAGATCCCAACACCAAAAATATTTTGTTGTCGCAGACTGGTTTTTTTTTAATGACAAATAACAAAAGCAGAGTCTCTTAAAACAATTGCATAAAATAACTCCCCATTAACTGACTTAAAGTGGACATGACATGATTGGCTGTCCCTCACAAACAAACGTTAGGGCACATTACTGTTAAAATCTGATTCGACGTAACTTTAGCTACATTTTACAGTTTGCATAGAAGCTTAAATTCCTGTGTAATCTCAATATTCAGTCACACCTTGTAAGTTAACAATAATAGTAATTGTGTTGCACTTTTAATGAATTTTCATCTAAATAATATCCTAAATCTTTTATTTCCTTAACTTTTCTTTTTTTCCCCTTAGGCGTCACTAATACAGCAGATGGCACTGAGTGTGAGATGAAACCCTCCTAATTTAACTGAGACAGTGAGGTCAACAGGAAGTGGTAAAACATTTATTTAGAGCGTGGAACACAACGCAGAATAACATGGACACATGCTTAAAATGCCATGCTGGATCCAAGACCATGAGAAATATATTCACAATATCATTTTATAGAAGTTACATTTTATCTCTGACAGATGGACATGTTTCACATGAAGACAGGAGTTAAGGCATAATGTTTGGTCATTCTCCTCTCAAATGCTACTCAGAGGTTGCCACTACATTGATAAGACAAAGCAAATGTAGGTATCATATCCTACATTTGCTGGCCAAAATAATGAATGACCTTCAAGAGGTCCAGGTTACAAAAGAATAATGCTAGAATGTTTCATTTATCATCTAAATACATACATATATACTTGTGTGTGTTCCAATATACATTAGTAGGATAGATGTTAAAGTACAGGTATAATAGAGTTTGAACAATCTAAAACAAAAGTATAACAAATCATCCCGTCAGTATTTCCAAGTGTATGAATGGTATTCAACTATCTGCACATTTAAGTAGACCAACATTATTCAACAAAGGCACTGTGTACAGAATTCTGTCTAAATAAAAGGAGCAATGCAAAGAATAAGAAGTTGTTAACCATTTTGTTCAGATACAATGTCTTATGCAGACAGAAATGGTGCCGTTGGTAAATGTTACAATGATATGACTTTCAACGGCAACTTGCATGTAACACCTCCGTTACCTGCTGACTGAAGCAGACATAAAATAAAAGACATTCTACTTTTAGGTGAGTACTTTTGGTGAAATTTTGGAAATTTTCATGATCAGCCACATTTGGCCGTATGACCAGCAGTAAGAGGCAGTGTCGCGCCTGAGTGAAGAAGAAAACTGCCAGTCATCTGCTGTCCAGCTGAATTAAAATGACGACTCTCACTCATCCACACTGCAGTGAAATCTGCACTCCGGCTTCAAACGGGACAGTGAATTCATTATCAGCTGATCTTTGACAGGTCTGAATGACCTGTATCGGTAAACAGCGGCTTCTCACAGTAGAAACATTAAACATCAAAAGGTTCACCATAACTGTGTTTCAGGCACAAATACAACACTTTAACAACAGGTGGAACTGTAACATTAATGTGGGAAAAAACAGAAACAAGATGAAATTTGCCACAGACCAAAAGAGCCACATGGACGGTGTTTATTTCACAGAGAAGAGAAACAGTACGATAAATGATCACTGGCAATTTAAAAAAAAAACCATTATGGTCACAGATTTGGAAAAGTGGTTAATGAATGTTCACAATATTGTTTATGAGAGGCACAAAATTAATTCAGAGGTCGGCAGGCCAGCTGTGCACAATAAGCTGGTTTGGGAAAGCAGAGAAGGATGGTATAAAAGTACATTTAGATTTAGGACATGTAGCAACAAAGGACTCACTGAGACTCAAATCATGCTAAGATTCTGCCATCTAGAGGTTGAAACTTGCAAGTACATGTCAAAACTTCTGATACTGAACAATTACTTTGAACACTGACTTTTGTATAAAGGTGAATGAATTTATATAACCTTACAACAGGGTAACCAAATCTACAAGCAATGATTAAACCTGTGAAACTCTTAATTGTTTATCATCTCAAGGTTGCGCAGAACTTGCCAAGATCGGAACATGTTTAAAGAAATGTTTCATTTTCTATCACAGTAACAGACTACAGTAGAAATCTGACATGAAAATAAAATCATGTTTTACTTTGACATGCAGCAGCAGAAACAGCTACAGATCCAGCTGCTCAGACCCCAACATGAACTTCACTTTGCTTTCATCAAACTGAGAACAAACCTGAGCACAAACACTGCCTACAGTGTTTACAATCAAATCACCTGCTTGTTTCCCGACTTGTAACTGACTGTAACATTCCTGCTTTGTCATCACAGACTAGGTGCACTGGAAACTTAACCCACAGAGGTCAGAGCGACGATGCTTTTCCTTCATCACTGTGGAGTTTCTCCTTAAATTACAAATAACACAATCACACAAGTGACATCTGGGAAATATGTTAGCAAGACTAACAGTTTATCCGAGGCGGGGGAACAGGACAAAAGAAATTACACACACACACACACAAAAAAAGCTCAGACCCTGAATGTCCACCACATGCCATTTGAGGTAATACAGAACTGTTCAGTAGCCTTGGTGGGCATGCAGGGTCACTGTTTGGGCTAATCATTTCCAAATATGGCTTTGTTTTATGCTGACATGTCCAAACACGTGACAAAAGAGAAGCGGGAGCACTGCTGTCAGTATACGCATAGAACAAACAACATTCATCTATAACAGTGATACAGTCAGACAGAAATCCAACTAAAGCCAAACCGCTTTCGTCTGGTTTGGGCACTTGAGTGGTGAACAGGCACTGCACATAGGAGTAAGAAGACAGACAACATAACATCCTGCGAGGTAAGCCTTATCATACAAGTGACTGGTAACAGGTAACGTGTCATTGTATCTATATAATCACGGTGAGTACAACAATAGTTTGAAGATCTATCACGCTAACCTTTAAGAAGTCTGTTTAAAAGCAAAGAGGGAATTACACACTCTGTTCAGTCTACTGCAAACTACTTCAACAACTGAGCATTGAATGACTGTGGAATTAAGAGGCAGGAGCACCTATTGCTCCATTTCCAATCATCAATGAATGTCAACACATCAGACAGGAACATATGCATGAATTCCAGGCATATACTTAGAAAGCTCTGGAGAGGAGTACAGTATTCTGATTAGTTCTCCGTGTCTGAATTTCTCTCGCCTACTTTGCATCTGGACTTTTTTAAACTATGAAGGATTTAGTAGGACTGCGAAGAACTGCAGCATATAATCCTGGCTAACTAGTGCAGAATATTAAGGGTGAACGTGTTTAAAACAAGAACTAAAAACAACAGAAAATACATACAATCTGATCTTTCAGAGGTAAGGCCCCATTATTTTCACCTTTAGAAAATTAAAAACCTCTTAAAAATATAAAAAACCTCTGATTTGGTGTCAAGTGTTTCTGGTCAAAGGCAGTTGCATAATGGGTCATGGGCTAAACAAAGTTTTCATGCTTGAGGCAGATACACAGCAAATGATTGAGAATAACGAGTCCCAGGCCTGCTTCATCAGAAGGCTGCTTGGCTCTGTGGGGTGGTCATCTTCTGGAGCAGAGGTATCTGTGTGATCACAATGATTAGCACATTGGAACAGTGTTTAATAGACATCTGTCATGCTCACACAGCACAGCTGTACATTATATTCATCTGTCATAGCAACTGTTCCCTTAGACATGATGAGGTCTTAATTAGAAAAAAGGATTTCAGAGGAAATCACTGACATTTAACTCATCAGTACAGATTCACACATCAAATATGAACACTTAATTTGAGTATGTCTAAAAATATTACAAAATAATTACAAAAAAATGTAGTCACAAAGAATTAACTAGCTGAGACCACATCTTCAATTAAGTTTGACAGCATTTCTAGTAGATACTAGCAGATGGAGTGAGCATGAACTGAGGCTGCGGTTTGGGGAAGGCCTCAGTGGGGATTGGCGGCGGCAGATCCTCATGTACTAATGAGAATAAATTGGAAAGG